TCTTCAATTAAAGTGTCTGAAATATGTTTTTGTCCAATTGCTTACTTATATGTAAGTTTCATAAGTTCGTTAATTTGAATAAATAAATGGGCCAAGGGCCAGTTTGACATGAAAGAATGAATGGGCCAAAGGCCAGTTTGACATGAATGAATGAATGGGCCAAAGGCAGTTTGAATGAATGATAAATGGGCCAAAGGCCAGTTTGACTAAATAAATGAAGGGCCAAAGGCCAGTTTGACATGAAAGATATGAATGGCCAGAGGCCAGTTTGACATGAAAGTATAAATGGGCCAAAGGCCCGTTGACATGAATGACAGTATGAATGGGCCAAAGGCCAGTTCAACACGATTGAAAGTATGGATGGGCCAAAAGCCAGTTTGACACGAATGAGTTGGCCCGAGGCCGCTATGATGTGTTTGGAACTGAGAGTTACTCGACTTATATTTATGTGTACATGCTAGATAGAATATGAATTGGGCCCAAGGCCGTTTGAAGCACGTTGTTCTAAATACCGTTTGTGTATTTACTTTACTCGTATTATTCACTGGGCTTTCGCTCACGCTCATTCATGTGTTTGTAGGTGAGCCAAGAGCGGTCCAAACCCAGCCTCAGTGAAGTCTGTGTGGAACAACCAAGGTTTTGAAGAGTCAGCCCTTGCGTCTCACACACGAGACTCGTCTTCGCCCTTTTGTTATCCTATTTTTTTTGTCATGTTGGCGAAGACTTTGAATCCTTTGTATATAGTTTTCATGGGTTGAATTAGACTTAACATGATTCACCTGTACAGAACTTTATGCTACTGTATTTCCTGATGTGAGTTATTAATATGCATATGTATGGTTTGTTATGATGTGCCATGTAAGCACAGCTCTATGGACAAAGGTTTTAAATTTTGCTTCCGTTTGGCCCCTTTACTCTGATGAGTTATGTCTGATTTGGTTTGAGGCCGTAGGTAATCTCAGGATTACTGACCGGTTATGTCCTTAACCCATGGGGGCTATTACTCACAGTGATCAGCTAGTTGATTTGCCTTGGAGCTAGACCCTACACATCACATAATACATATGGGTCACAACCGATTCAATCCGTTCCATAATTCACAAATTCCTCTTTAGACTTCCTTCTTATCCTTTTAACTCATTTACAATGCTTAATGCATGCCTAAGAGTACTCAGAAGTGAAAGAGAATGGAAAACGAAACACATAATGCATTTTCAAAATTTCAGAAGCAGGGGTCCCCGCTCGAGCGTGGACTTCCCCGCTCGAGCGGACCCATGAGGCCTGCAAAAGTACTGGTTATGTCAAATTTACGCTCGAGCATGAAGTCGGGCGCTTGAGCTAAAGGCTTCACTACATGGTTCCTCGCTCGAGCGTGAACTTCCCCGCTCGAGTGGACATCATGTCTGCAGAAAATACTGGAAGCTCGTTTTTTACGCTTGAGCGGCGGTTCTCCCGTTCGAGCGGACATCAAAATTTCTAGATTTTCCAGAACTTGTTCTTGAGCTTCAACTTGACATTCCAAGGCTCTAAACACATGATTTTGGCTCAAATTTCACTTATACATGTACTAACGTGGTACTAACACCAAATCACAACATTATGAAGCTCAATTCCATGAATTACTTACATGCATGACTCAAATTAACCCAAACTCATCACCAACTCATTAAATTCAAATATTGAAAACTCACACCTCTATGATTTGCACATGCATGTGAGAGATACTCATTATTCTCAACCTAATTGGTGAAGAGATGATCAAATCCATGGGCTTCAATCAAACTTCAACATGGATTACACACTTTTTGCTCAAACATGGAAATTCAAAGCAATTTCTCATATGCATGCACATGTAAGCTTTAAATTCAACAAAACCAACTCAATTTCGTCATTATCAATTTAATTCATGCTCTTGATCCTTATTCAACTTTGAATTCACAAAATTACAACATTAAACCGATGAATTCATAATCAATCACTCACCTAGAAGCTCAATCTTCCAAATTATGGTCAAATCTTGAATTGGTCTTCAATTAAATCAAGCTTCAAGATCAAAATCTCAATTTGAGCTCTTCCTTTCTCTCTAAGCCGGCCTCTCCCTCTCTCCTTAGAGTGATTTCAGCCAAAATGAAATAAAGAGAGAAGTTGAGTGCATAGCGCCCTTTTATGTAAGTCCCACTAATCAAAATTATCCATATTAAATAATTGGGCACTTAATTAATTGTTCTGAATCTAATTATTCTGATCCGAATCAATTTTCAATTAAATTTCACCGTAGGCTCTAAAAATTATGTCAATCACAATAGCGCAATCAATTTTTAATTTCCAAACAAGATAATCAAACAGATATTCCTACGGTGTGCAGATAGAAATTCAAAACCACATATCTTCACATAATGGCACACAAAATCATATCAAACACATAATCATATTCATAATAAGGACCAATTAGCATACTATGGAATAGGGATATCACATCTAGCCAAGGCCAAGTATTGAAGAACCTGAAGTGGCAGAAGTCTTATGCTGTGACAACCCCGACCTTCGTACTATTATTTTATATTATTTCAATAAGCTTAATTGCATGATTGCGTGTTTAATTGTGTGATTACATGCTTAATTTTGTAGTTATCTATTATTACTAGGAATATTTGTTCACTTAACGACTGAGAATCAGAAATTGAAAGCCCGAACGGCTTTAGAAGCCAAAATTGACTAGCCCAATAGGCTAATTAGAATATTTACAATTTTATGGCAACTTTCGTCAAAATTTGATTCGAATAAAAAATAATTAGAATAAACTGACTGAATTTAGTAGAATTATGACTAATTAATTAACCTTAATCAACTTTGATTAGGCTAAGCTAATTGCACCCTATATAAGCTTAGTACATGTCTTGAACTCACATATACAACACATGGGCTGAGATTTTGATAGAGGAGGAAGGTGAACTCAACATTTAGAGAGAGAGAGAAAGGCGAATTTAAAGGAAATTGCGGAGGACTTGGGGATTTAAGCTAGAATACACTTGAATTCAAGTCCCAGGTATGATCTCCAACCTTAATCCTTGTAAATAAAATATGTAGAAATTTAATTCATCTAAGAATTGAGCTTACTTGCATGAAATTGTTTATTGGAGGCTTGAATCACCTTGAATTTGGAAGATAAGAGTTAATCATGTACATGCATGTGCCTAAATTGAGTTAGAATTCATGAAATTCCTACATGCATGGCACTTTTACACCCTAATTTGAAGAGTCCTTCATGTTTTCATACTTCTCGTATCACTTGATTATGTTCTGAAGAAATATAGACTCAACTTGAGTCAAACTTAGTTTAAAACTTCAAGTTGAAGTTTTTGGTTGAGAATTTGCCATGGTTTTAATCAATTGGTTTCAAATTAACTATGTTTCCAGGATTTATAATGTTTTCCCATGTTTTTGTACCAAAAATACAAGTTTTGGGCCTTTGAATATCATGTTTGAACTTCAAACACAATTCTGGAAATTCCAAAATTCGACCTATTCACTCGAGCGAAGAAAGTGTCGCTCGAGCGTAAAAATCAAGCTCCCAAAAGTTTTGCAGAGAGTTGCACAATGGCTCGAGCATCCAAATCTGTGCTTGAGCGGACCCTGTTTTACGTAGCTCATCGTTTAAGCGATGGAAAGCTCGCTCGAGCAAAAAAAATCGCACGTCCAGTATTTTTACAGAATTTTATAGGCCGCTCGAGCGACCGAAGTTGCGCTCGAGCGACCACCCTTATTTTTGAATCCCAGTTCGAGCGAAGGAAGTTGCGTTTGAGCGAGGACCCTATTTTCGGCAATTTTTGACTAACTCTTTGAAGTGCATACTTACATCCTCATGTCATTTCTAGTACTCTTAGGAACCAATTGAACTCATTTAAACATGAAATGAGTTAGAAACATGAGGAGAATTGAATTAAGTGAAATGGATATCGAATGGTACTTCAATTGGGTATTTGTTATGTGTTTTTGTATAGTTGGACATTCGAGGCCTAGTGACAGCAAAACCCACTGTGAGTAGTAACTTTATAAAGATATGTCCAAGTAATAGTTATTTTTGAAATTGTTATTGTTCTTTAAATCAATATCCGATCGATTGAATGTTTTATTAAAATGTTATTTTCTATCGATGAATGAAGTTCACTTTTGAAACTATATTGTGGCATCCATTGATTATAGGCTCTTACCTAGGGGTAACAATACCATGGCTATTGGGATTAATTGAAACATCGAGGTCTTTAGTGCTTGACCCTTTGCGGTCTATTGGATTGACCCTTCGTGGTCCATTGGTTTGACCCTTCATGGTCCATTGGATTGACTCTTCGGGGTCCATTGGTTTGACCCTTCATGGTCCATTAGTTTGACCTTTATGGTTCATTGTGATCGGAATGCTATTGCTTCATGGATGCACCACTTAATTTGATATTGAATGAAATCGACGATTAGTTTTATCAAATAATGAGAGTTGAAATAAGAATTGGATTGGCATGTTATCGAACTTCATTCATATAACCTCTTTATTCTATTATTACGCACTGGGCCCCAGCTCACTATTTATTTATATATATGTAGGTGGGCAACTTGAACATCAGAGTTAAGAAATTGTTAATCCTACCCGAATCAGCCTTTTGAGAAGCTTCCAAGTAATGTAACCAGGCTCAGGTGGAGCCATGCTAGTTGAACCCCTTTTCGCTCGTTAAATGGTTTTGTATTTGTGTATAGTTCTCGGGGTTTTGTATAACTATAAGACGTGGATGTTTGGAATTAATGTGGCGTATGTACATAAAGAATGAATCGTCTTATGATACGAAGTCCTTTTCATATACGCATGGCTCAATGGATAATTTTTATGTTATACTATACTTCCGCTAAGCCCCGTACTTTATATTAAATGGATTATTTTTTATGGTGGCCATAGGTAATCTACGATTACTAGCCGGTTATGACGCTAAACCTGTAGGGGCAGATTTGGGTTATGACAGAGTGGTATCAGAGCACGAGTTATATCTCACTCACTTGTTCATTGAACTATAGAGAGTCTAAAGGGGACTTCAGGACTGCATTCATGTGCATTTAAATGTTAGAGTGAGATAATTTGTACAATTTACATATGCATTCATGTGCATTTAAATGTTAGAGTGAGATAATTTGTACAATTTACATATTTGAGTCTGTACATGTATATATATATATATATATATTGTGTTATAATACAAAGTTTCATATAGAAAATGGTGAGAACCAGAAATGATGAGCTATAGGAGGCAACCTCCTCGAGATTGGATAGAATGGAACAAATGATGCAAGACATATGGCTGAAGCAATAAGACAACGATAGTAATGGCAACAACAATGACAACCGCCACCCCTACCTCTAATTCCTGTACCACATCCAGCGCCAGGGTGTCAGACAAGGGACTGTACTTTTGCTTTGACTAGAGAATTCAAAAAGATGAAGCCATCATTGTTTCATGGAGAAATTGAACCATTGAAGATGGAAGCTTGGGTTTTAGGGATTGAGAAGTTGTTTAAAGTGTTTCCATGTGCTGAAGCTCAGAAAGTACAATTAGCCGTATTCACATTAGAAGATGATACACGGCATTAGAGGATGTTGGTTTGAGATGAGAATAAGGATATTACTTGGGCTCGCTTTCTAGAGATCTTTTATGAAAAATACTTTCCGCAATGTTTACGAGATAGAAAAGTGTCGAATTCATAGAACTCAAGCAGGGAAACAAATCAGTTGCTGAATATGAGGCTTAGTTTACAGAGTTAGCCCGTTTTGCGCCCCACATGGTAGACACAGACTACAAGAAAGCTAGACAATTTGAGGGAGGCTTGCGTGACCTAATCCTAGATAGAGTCAATGTACTCAAATTGTTGACATATGTGGATGTGCTTGATAGGGCACTAATAGCAAAGGGTAATATGGCTAACCATAAACAAAAATTTGAATGGAAGGGCAGAAGACAAAATTTCAATAAGGGGACAACGTCAACAAACAAGAAGTTTAAATCTGGGAGTTCTAGTAATACTGGCTCAAGCCAAAGTGGTAATTCAACACCAATTTATGCTACCTGTGGAAAGAAACATTGGGGTGTTTTCTACTGCGCATCGAGGGCTTATTATCACTGTGGGAAGACGGGACACATAGCAAAAGATTGTACACAACCACGTCGAAGTGGAAATCATGGTGCTACAAGTTCAACCAGATCTGCTCCAACAATGGGAACAAACACAACACCCACTACAACAAGGAATGAACATCGGCAAGGAAGGGTTTTTACACTAATTCTGGGGGATACTCAAAATACTAAGGCTGTGGTTTTAGGCACTCTCCCTATTTGCAATCAAGATGCATATGTGTTAATTGATTCAGGTTCGACACATTCTTTTGTCTCTTTTGTGTTTGGAATCATTGCCCTATATATTGTATGTGTCTGTCCCATCTAGAAAACCTGTTTTATATTCATCTGTTTATTGTGCTTGTGAGATACATGTTGATAATGTGATATTGTTTGTGGATCTACTGCCTCTTGAAATTAGACACTTTGATGTAATTTTGAAAATGGACTGGTTGTCCAAATATTATGCAACTATTGATTATGTAATGAAACGAGTTTTATTTAGGCCTCCAAGACATGATGAAATTGTATTTGTTGGTAATGGGGTAGTACCTCCACCTTATTTGATTTCAATAATGAAAGCTTGTAAATTACTCAAGAAGGGATGTTAGGGGTACTTGTGTTGTGTGATGACTAAACAGACCGAGGATGTCACCCTAGATAGCATACCAGTAGTGAGAGACTTTCCAAATTAACTATGTTTCCACGATTTATAATGTTTTCCCATGTTTTTGTACCAAAAACACAAGTTTTGGGCCTTTGAATATCATGTTTGAACTTCAAACACAATTTTGGAAATTCCAAAATTCGACTTGTTTGCTTGAGAGAAGAAAGTGTCGATCGAGCTTAAAAATCAAGCTCCCAGAAGTTTTGCAGAGAATTGCACGGTGGCTTGAGCATCCAAATTTGCACTCGAGCGAACCCTGTTTTACATAGCTCATCGCTCGAGCGACGGAAAGCTCGCTCGAGCATAAAAATCATATATCTAGTACTTTTACAGAGTTTTGTAGACCGCTCGAGCGACCGAAGTTGCACTCGAGTGACCACCCTTATTTTTGAACCCAACTCGAACGAAGGAAGTTATGCTTGAGCAAGGACCCTGTTGTCGAAATTTTTTGACTAACTCTTTGAAGTGCATACTGTAGCTTGCTTTTTGTGCTCCTTTCAGATACGACTAGCCCTGCAGTTTGGACTCCCATGGTTTTGAATTTGATTTCACAAGTGCAATGTGAAACAGTGAAAACACAAAAAGAGTCCAAATCCGACAATTCTTTTTGGAAAATCGATGTTTGAATCAAATGTCAAAAATGGACTGCTTTGCTAGATTTTAGAGTCGATATCTAAATATTTTTTAGGAAATTTAGGAAACCCAAGAGTCGTGCCAAAGGCTACTTATCTGTCATCACCAAAGTGTCTCGGTTCTAGAACTTAGGTACGAGAGGGGAACATCATGAATTGAGCACCCCACTCGCCCGATCAAAGATTGGCCTCTACTAAGCATGATATGATTCTTATTTACATTATATATTCTTGTTCCGATTTATTAGGCTATCTTTACTATGTGATGCATGCAAGTTATAGACTAATTTTGCAAAAGTTGGAACACTTTGATTTTATGTTTGTTTTGAAAAAAAAGGTGTTTTGAATACGCATCACTTAAAATAGTGAGTTTGTATGTACATTAATCAACTTATCCCAATTTTAGTAATTAACTGTCATCCACAGGCATTGAAACAAGTATATCATTTAAGCATTTAGCCTCATGGAAAGCATGCTCGACATGGAAACAATCACACGCAATGCAAGATGCTAAAGTAATAAACGCTCACCTAGTACTCCAAGGCAAGCCAAAGAAAATAAATAGTTAGAAACAATGCATGCTCCTACATAATGTAATATGACTAATGCAACATATACAAAAATGCAACTAATAGGCTCGGTTACTAGCATGGCATATGACTCCATCCAAGACATGCGATATAGCCCGTATTCAAGGAAGTAATAAATGACAATGTTGTTTAAAATGATGAACCGAACCCAATGCGTGCAAAATGAATGGATGGAAGTCATAGAAGATGCTAAGTAAATACAATGCTACCATCGTAAGCGGGGTAAATAAAAAGGAGAAAGAAATGGGGGTTGAAAGATATAGACAAGTATGACAATTTGCCCTTATGTAAGAGAGTTCGAATGGGTGTCCAAGTGTCCGAATAAACTAACTATTAAAAAACCACAAGAATAAATTGAACTAGATAACTAATTAGCTAAACTAATTAATTACTTATTACAAACTCAAAGGATACTAAGCTAACTATCTAAATAATTACAAGATATTAGAATGAGCCATAAACTAGCAATCTAAGTTAACTAGCTATAACAAATACAAATAAACAATTATAATAATTGCAACAATACTAATGATATTTAATTACTACAATAATGGGCGCATTAATTTGCAACATTGATCTAGACGAGAATGCTCGAGGATTGTATGCACAGTGCCTAGAAGTTGTTCTGTTTGCCCAGACTGGTCTACCTCACTGTCAGCCACTGCTCTCTGCTTCTGCAAAAAGTCTCTGTTTTACCAAACATTAGGATCAGGCCGGCTCCAAATGAGATCTGGTGTGGCCAAAACAATGTCGGCTGGCACCAAATTTTATGCCAAGAAGTGTTTTGTGCTCTGAGGTGAGAACAGTGCAAACAGAGCCTTTCTGGGCCCTGTTTTTCCCTTTTGCCCCTCTTTGTCTTGGGAAACTCAAGAGAAGGACAAATTCACGTTCGAAACCATCAATTAGCACAAGTGGATGGCTTGATGATCCTGAGCACGTTTGGACAAAATTGATAAATGGATGAAAAACCACCCTTCCCTCTTATCATGAAGGCTCAAATAGGGAAGTAGACATGCTCTAAGTCTTATCAACGTATCATGAATTGATACATGACAATGCTCAAAACGATGGACTTGGCATAACGTCCGGCCTAATCCAACCAACTTTAAGCATTTTCTTTATGTCGGTTTAGTTCATTTTAAACTGATTTGATTAATCCTTGCCGTTCTTTAATAAATTTCTCCCAAAGTGATGATTAAGTCCACTAAATGAGTAAAAACGTCAAATGAGAGGTGATCCTAAACATAAAGAGAGACCATGTCGTTGACGATGAACCTCCGTAGAAATTAAGCCATTGAGCATGGGTCTTCTTTTTATGC